TAATGTCTAAGTTCTAACTGTCAAGGAGCAATGTGATTTATAAATTTGGTCTCCTCCTGAGTGTACCAGCCCACCAAGACTTGCATTACTTTCCATTGCCAGTATACATTATTCCGCTGTCCTTTTCCACGTGATGAATTGGTACTGTAGCTGATAAAATCAGCGGAATGTAATTTCTGTTAGCATGTGACAATTCCTAAGAAGTTGCTTTAAGTAATAAAGCAGAGCTTCTGAAATCACAAAGGTGAGGATCAAAGCGCCCAGGGTGACCTTTTTGAGATGAACAAATCCATAAGGTTCAGTCAAAAACAATACTTTACCCTACTTTTGTCTCACTCATACATTCTCATGTAATAAACAATTATTTATTAAGTGCCTATTATGTGACAGACACTATAATAGACATAATTCTAAAGTGAGAGGTAGAAAAGTGGTTGAAATAATATTTGAGTATCTAGCTCTAGTGTAGATGATAGGCACTGTGGTAGATATTTTCCATTTGCAATCTCATTAGATACCCTCCCAAATATATAGCAATTGTTATTATTACTTCTCAGGGTATAAAATTGGGACTAGAGATCATTATTTATAATTTGGCTACTACAAAATCAAGACTGAGGGATACTAAACTTTCTTAACTCGGTTTTCTCTTTATTGGTTCCTTGTTACTATTGATGACAATGTTTAAGACTATTGAAACAATAAAAATATGTATAATAAGGTATTTACAATTTTCAATATAGCTCCATCCAGAATCCAAAATAATTGGACTGTCTTATACATCCATTTTTACAAAGAATCTGATCTGTTCAGTACATGGAATTCAAATGCTTCTACTCATTTGTGGAGAATGTTTAGTTATGACATTCTGATGCCAGTTTCCTCTTACAGTGTATTCACAGGTGTTTTGTAAAACAGAGGCAATGCTTATTCTTGAAAATAACTGAGAGTTTGTAAAGAATTTTACAGCAGATCTCTTAGTAACGTTATTCTATATTGCTTATTTTTGTTATAAAAATAATTGCTTGAATTTCAGATGTGATTTTGTGTTGAACAACTTTTTGTATTTTAAGACATTTCATTAACATATATGTCTAAGCATTATTTTCCAGGAAAAACGGTTTTGTTAAACTTAACTCACTGGAGATCCTTAGCTTTAGTAACATAGATGTTTTCATAGATGTAGTGTCAGGTGTTGACACTAATCAAGCCTCTGGTGACTCCCAGAAACCTCATTAAGTGGAGGGAGACTATTCTGAACTGAGGACCATTGAAATTCATTTTCTTACTGCTGATATTCAGGGTAGTCCAGACAACACAAAATTCAACATGAGATGCTTTATCCAAATTGACTTCTACCTTTCAGAATAATCCAGAAATCAATCGGCTTTAGCTACCTCTCCAATGACAGCAATGCATTCACTTGGCATTCTCATTCTGTTTTCTTTGTCCCTTGGCATTCTCATTCTGTTTTCTTTGTCCCAGCAAGCAACATATGGACTGAACCACTTTTTAAAAACATCAATAAATCCACCTTTGCCATTTAAGCATCTAGGGATTAAGTTATGCCCTGTGAAGTTACAACATGCCTGGGTGGTTGAATTTCTGTACTGCTTGTGATTTCAAATTGAACAATAATCCTCATTAAAAGGAGCTCACGTGAATACACTTGGGAGGGTAAATTTGTTTAAAAAATATATTCCTTAAGCATACACTCTAATATATAATACAGTGCCTAAGAGCACTAGTCAAAGATCTAGCTTCAAATCTAGTTCTAGTACCTACTAGATGAGTGACCCTGAACAAATTACCAAGCTCACTCAGCCTTTTTAACTCATCTGTACAACTGGGACAATGCCTCTTAGAGCTTTTTTAAAGATTAAAAAAGAAAACCTATGTAAAAGGCTTAGCACAGCGTCTGGTGTAAGTACCTAAGTGCTCAAGAAGGGATAACTTTTATTCTTCTTCTTCCATTTATAAACTTTATTAGAGAAAATAACTCTTATGTAACCCTCCAATACTCCCAGATACTTACTATATTTCAACCAAAATGTTAAACCTCTTTTTCTCCCTATTTCGTCATGTGATGTTTTATCTACTTCTTTAATTTTATATTTAAGCAAAAAGCCAAATAACACAGATGTACAAAAAAAAAAAGCCAGCAATCTTCTTTCCCAGGGTAACCAGTACCAATACACTGGTTTATGTCCTTCCACACTTCTCTCTATGCTTACACATACCACAGAATGAAGAGTCCTGTGTATGTCAACGGCCCAGTATATGCCTCTCCACACTTTTCTCTCACACATCCTCATGCAACAATGAAATTATACTGGTTACAATAAGCTACAACTTTTGTGTTTTACTTGAGCATTCTTTTTTTTTTTTTGCGGTACATGGGCCTCTCACCGTTGTGGCCTCTCCCGCTGCGGAGCAGAGGCTCCGGACACGCAGGCTCAGTGGCCATGGCTCACGGGCCCAGCCGCTCCGCGGCATGTGGGATCCTCCTGGACCGGGGCACGAACCCGTATCCCCTGCATCGGCAGGCGGACTCTCAACCACTGCGCCACCAGGGAAGCCCTACTTGAGCATTCTTTAGGTCAAAAGTTATAGCAACTAACTCATGTGTTCTAATGACTGCATAACAATCCATAGCATCATCTACCCAAGTATTCTGCTACTGAAGGGTATTCAAACTGTTTCCTTTTTTTATTTTTTTCTTTTTGCCCCTACAATCCATGTAGCAATAAACATCCTTGTTCAAATGTCCTTACATATTGGTGGTTTTATTTTTGTATGATAGTTTCTGTAAAGTAAGATTTGGCATTACTATGTCTCAGGGACTATTCTAAATGTTTTACATTTATTATCTCATTTAGTCTTGACACAACTCAATGCGATATTATTATTACCCTTATTTTGAATATCATAAAATTTAGGTAAATAAATTGCCCAAGGTCACTAGCTAGTAAGTGTGAATAAGTGATTTCAACCTAAACAGTCTGGCCTCCAAATCCTTGCTCTTAACAGGACCCTTATCCAGCAATTGCCCAATTACTTTCCCCAGAGGTTGTACCCACTTAAGAGTCCTTCCATGCGAGTTCCTCTAAACCATTCTAAGCCTTCCATTGTACACCATAGTATGGCTTATCTAATGACAGAAATCAACTGGCAGTGTGCTTCTTAGGTGCACAAATCCTATCTTGTTTGTTTCCAAACACAGTTGAATGTGTGCCCTATAGTCAGAAAAGCCTTTTACAATATGGAATTTGGTTACTTAGGGGATTGTCTCTCTCTTTTTAGGCTCCTCTTAGCAATTGGGATCAAAAAATGAATATGTATTGCTAGTGAATGGGATGCAGAATACTGCAGCGGCCTCTGCTAACAGCTTCCGGTGTTATGCTTCGGGAAAGCAAACACTGGGAATTTTCCATTTATAGCTTATGTTATTTAAATTCTTACTTAAAAAGTCTCCAGTCTTTTAACATTTACGGAATGAAGTAATTCTTCCTCCTCCTCTCAAAACCAAAATTCCCAAACTGATTACAATTAGAATGGCATACTACTGTTTTTCTATATTTCTTATGAATTTTATTTACTTTTCTCAAAAGTGTTTCAATATACAACAGAGTCTTAGGGACTTGAGCAAAGGGTGCGTTTTTTATTAATCAAGTAAATAAACCAAATTAAACTGAGCAATTTATAACTGCTTTTCTTCGGAAGAGTATATCTTAAGGGCATGTTATTACATTTTGGCTCCTATGGTGAGAAAGAAATATGAAAAGAAAAATGCTAAACGCCACCCTGAGATCAGCATCGTATTTTAGGTGAGGAACAGTCAGCATCGTATTTTAGGTGAGGTCAGCATCGTATTTTAGGTGAGGAACACATGGGATGATCATAGAATCCTGGGGGAAAAAATTACCGCGGTTCCCAGGGCATGTGCCGGTGGTGGTTTGGCAAAGAAAAAATCCGGGTTTTATGCCTCAAGAAAGGCAACTGGAGAAGCTCCAAAGTTAAAGATCTTAAACGCTGATAACACTTACTGTGTGGCTGCAGAGACACGACTGATCTAGCAAATTCTGTGGATGACTTAAGACTTAAGGTTGAGTTGGCACTATTGCCCCTCTGGTAGCAAGTTGGCATTATGCAAGGATGCTTCTGGGAAAAACAGACTGAAATGATTCGGTCTGAAAACCTCTTGCTTTGAGCAAAAACATTACCAGCTGGAAAATGAACTGCTTAAGAGACAACAGAAAGAAGTTGAATGGGGGTGTAGTGCTATTCTGGAATTTTGGCTGTCACAGAAGGTGCCAACATGTAAAACTGCCTTTGTGGTTGTGAGATTTAGAAACCTGGGGCGGCAACTTCACGGCTCAGGGAAAATCAGGTTAGTGAAGGTCAGCTTTGGGAAGAGTGAAAAGTGGTCAGAAGCAGCTAATGTGTACATTTGAGCTAAGACTGCTGAAATTTGTAAAAGTTAACATGTTCTGCGTTAACTCACTTCACACACACCCCTCTCCTGCGAGGCAGTTAGGTATGGCGAGTATGACTGGATCTGTTTTATACTGCAGGAGACACACTGGAAGGAGAAGGTATTGTAACTTGTCCAGGGGCACACATTTAGTAGCGCGGCAGCTGGCTTTCAGGCTTCATATTTCGTTGGCTTAGTACCACACCACGCTTGAGTGTGAAAGGAGCAATGTCAGGGCCAGACGATAGAGTCCAGAAAATTCTCTCCAAAGGAGCAAGGGAGAGCCCTCCCTGAAGCCTCTGATGGCTGAGCACCACGGTAGGTCAGAACCTGCGGGATTGGGACCACCGTGGTGATGGATACCTCCGAGCGGCAGAGCGGAGGCGGGAGAAGCCCTGCAGCGGCTCAGGTGAGCCGTAGCGGGCAGCTAGCGCCTGCCACGCCGCCACCTTCCATCAGCGCGCCGCGCTCCAGGCTCCGCGCCCCCCTCGGCCCCGGCCCGCTCTCCCCAGGCTGTGACACTCACTCACGGTCTGGGACACCTTCAACTCCTGGTTGAGCCACTGGCACAGGATCTCCGACATGGCTCGGCCTGCACCTCCCACCGCAGGCAGGTGCCAGGAACGCGCGGGAAACCCACTCAGCCCGCCCGCGTCCTCCTGTTGCCAAGGGCGACCCGTTGCTAAGGAAGCGTCTCCAGGCCAGAGCTAAGGGAGAAGGCTGGGAGAAGAAGGGCGCCAGAGCCCAGCCGAGGAGGACAGAAAATCGTGACTTGCCCCCTGCTGGCGGGTAAGACCTGGATGTGCGCAAGCGCAGTGGGCTTCGAAGGCCGGGAGACGGCGGTGCGGACCTTCAAGAGCGCTAAGTTAGCAGAAGTGGGGTGCGGAGGGGCGAAGCAGGGAAGCTAGTGGACTGAGCAAGGGGTTCTTGGACAAGCAGAAAGAGAAAGAAAGTGTCTTGGTTGAAAGGGAATTCTTTTCTTCCTGTTTGTCTCTTAAAGAAACATATGGAAGGTCCTACTCTAATGGCCAGTTTTAATTGCTACATTGTATGGGCTACGCAGACAGGGACAGAATAGGTCTTATTCATCTTTTAATCCCAGAGCTGGTATAGGTCCTGACCCGCAGGAAGCATTCAAGTTTTGTCGGTGGTGGTGACAGAACTAACATTTAGGGTAATTCACATCTTTATATTGTTTTGAGAGGTGAATATTTAATGAGCTTCTTTTCTGATCAGTTTTGCCTTCCAGGTAATATTTTAAATTGTATTTTGAGAAAGAATCTCACTTTGCCCAAACCCGAGTCAGCCTCCTCTGAGCCCTCTTCCCTCTGAGGTCCCACCTTGAACTCTGTCCTTGGCCCCTTTGTCAAGTTTTAGCAAAAATCCTGCTGGATCAGTTTAGTGAAAATCCCCCACCCATATCTGATCTAATATCTCATTCCTCACCCTTGATAGCTGATCATTCTGGCCTGTCTTCAGCAAGGATGCTGTCAAGTTAGTTTAGCCTTTAGCCCTGCTGTTTCATCTTAGTAGTTTTCCACCCATAGACCTAACCCTGCTCCTTGGCTGTAAATCTCCACTTTTCCTTGTTGTATTCAGAATTGAGCCCAAACTCTATCCCCTACTGCAAAACCTCACTGCAGTATTCCCTTGAATAAAGTCTTCCTTATGGTCTTTAACAGTGGTAAGAAAAATTTTCCTTTAATAATTTCTACAAGTTTAGATAGAATAATGGGAAAAATTATATACATATATAATAGTATATATATATATATGTATGTCACAAATATAAGGAATTTTCCCCCTAAAAGCTTGGATACATCAAATTAGGATTCTTTTAAACTGTAAGAATAATAACAGTAATGTCCTAGTAGAAGAAATGTCTTTTAAGATTAATCTGAAATTGATCCATATGTCCTGATTGGATAAAGGTTTAGTACTATTTTGCTGTTGGCTTTACTTAACTTTGAAATCTCCTATCCCATGAGTTTCCTCACACCCAACACAGCAGGCATAACTAAATACAATGGGAATTCTGAGGGAGATTTATTGCCAACAGAATCGGAGCCTGATGCATTTGATATGTCTCACATTAGAGTTATCCAAATTCGGAAAACAGCCTCTATAGCTTGGGGAAATATATCTAATAAACCTTTATCCACTGGAAATAAGTCATCCCTGAAAATGCTTCTAAGGGATGAATACCTGCCTGGAAATGACCTCCAAGACACTGCTGCTGCTTGTCATCCCAGTAGTATATTTAAACTGAAGACTAGTGTTACACATTTATTAAGAAGTTCCAAGCTTTAATTTCAGTCTATAAAGCCTGGGGGATAGAAACCAATGTTTTCTAGATTGCTGAGAAAATTGCTTTTGGGGAAGGATGTAGATGAGGGTGCATCGAATCCCACAGCTGCACCAGAAGAGAATGCCTGAGCTCATAAACCATCCATAGATATGTGCTATTATTCCCACGTCAGAGCAAAATATTTCTGTGCCCATCTGTAGGAGCTGTTTGGTTGTTGTTTGTTGTTTGTTTCAAAGAGTTATTTGTAGTGTTTGTCTTTGGAACCCAGCTCCCAGTCTGCCAATGTGGTATTTTGGAAAAGAAGTTTTTATACAGAATTTAGATAAATGAAGAACAGACACTACAAAATTAAGGCAAAGTCTTTCATTTCACAAAAAGAGCATGATAATTTTTTTCAGTTCCTAAAGCATCCCACTTAAAAGTGATCTGACATTAAAATATTAATGAAAAATTTGAGCTATTACTGAAATACATGCATCTTACTGTGTGTTTTTTCTTGAAATTGCTAGTTTAGTTATTATTCCAAGTTTACCATTAAATCTATTGTCTTTCCATTGAAATCGCAGCTCTGGGCAAGGTTTCTAGCACTGCTCATGTTGGAGTTTTGCATTAATATGATATGTGACTTGTTTGTTTCCCCATGTGGAATCAGCTGGGAGAGGAGATGATTAAAGAAATGGACAGTTTCCCATCTGTTCTTGAGATGGCATCCTTATTGTTTTTTTAAATTAAATTTTTAGTGTATCTGGAACTTGCATTTAATCATAACTATCACAGCAATTTTAAAACTAAATTAAAAATTTATTTTTTAAAACATTACCTGTCATTCTTTTATAAATCCTTATTTATTCTTTGTAAATAGTCCAGGATGGATTACAAAGAGTTATTTTGAGACCACAAGTTGGCTTGAAAAGTCCTGCTGTGTACCGAAATGAAATACACCTTATTCTTTTAAAAAATAATTGTAACATTTTTTCATAAATAGAATTTTACACTATCAATAAAGCCCAAGCTTTGGAATCAGACACACCTGGCTCCAGATGTTTGCTTTTGATCCAACTAGTTTTTTGACTTTGGAAAAACTACTTAACTTCTGAGGCTCAGTTCCTTGTCTGTAGAACAAGGACATCAATATTTGTTTGACAGAGTTATGAGGATTAAATGAGAAATTGCACATATTAATGTCTGACTCATGGTAGATGCTAAACGTTTCTTTCCTTTTCTCCTGAGGCTATATAAATTTTTCCATTACATTGCTGGTTGGCTTAGTTTTGAGTAGTTTAGATTTGCTTATAATATTTCAATAAGTTTTTGAGACATTTATTTCATAAATCTGCTTTGATTTTATTTATTACTAATTCAATATTTATACATACATAAGTGTATATACATAGACGGATTTTTAGAAAACCTTATTTGGTCCTCTACATATGTCTTGCATGCATTTCTTCTCATCACCTTAGATCATTCTCTCATTCCCTCTCCTCGACATGTTTTGCAATGTCCTTGCTCACTTTTTATTCATTAATTCAACAAATGTTTCCCCTAGTGCCCACAATTAGCAGCCAAGCCAGATTTCCATGTCTCTTCCCCTCTAGTCACTCTCTGCAACCAGTCCAGTTCATATTCCTTCTCTACTCTTCAACTCAGACACTTTCATGAATTTCACGAGAGCAGCATTTACTGACTGTGGATTTTGACCTCTTAAAAGAATATGTAATTCCTATAGTGGATCATGCCAGAATTCTTTAAAAATGAAACACTGAAGAATACAATAGAACAGAAAATATCAGAGGGTATTTCATGTAGGGAGGGTGAAGGTAAGGTGGGGCTGGAAACAGTTTTGGAGCCACTGTCCTGGAGGAAAAAGACCCCATTGGAGGTTCTTTACAATCTAGCTTCATTCCAAACTTAACTGTAAGCCACAAATTCCCTTTGCACAACTTGCTCACATTTCTTTACTATATCCCACTTTTCCCATCTCTACGTCCTTTCTTTGCAAAAAAGGCAGCTTCCTATCTCAGCCAATTCTACCTGTCCTTCAGGGTCCAGCTCATCAGTTACCACCTTCACAAAACCTCCTATTCTCTCCATCATCCCAATCCCTTCTCAATTCTGAAAGCTCAGAATAAGTGCTTTCCTTTCAACTTTCATCCAAGACACCTAACTCTTACCAACTACCCATAACTTGGCCAACAACTCAGTTTTGCAATCTTCTAATGTCTTTCTCAACACATTTTCAAGCAAGTATTGATTTAGGTTTGTATTATTTGTGGCAAATAACTATAATGCTGTGAGAATTTAATTCTGTTTCAAAATTCTTGAGGTCTTTTCTATTGAAGCAGATATGACCTTTTCTTTTATGTGTCATATTTTCCAGACCACATGATTTGTCTTATATATGGGTTGTGCCTTTGTCAGGCAAACACTTAAATTTTCAATCTTAGAGAGCAATCAGATTTGAAAAAAATATCAAGTTAAAAACAAAGCAAAATAAGACAAATAACTTGGTACCATATGAGAAAAAGTGAGTCATATGTTCTATGACTGAGATAAGCCAAAGTTCATTTGTCAGAATTCTTGCTCTAATTTTCCCATATTGAAGTTTTCAGAGAAACCAAAACACCTTTAGTATCTTAAATTTAGAGCCATGAATTCACTTCTTACTTTTTCCTTCCCCAGAAAAAAAATAACCATTGCCAGGAAACCCTCTTAGTTTTGCTGAATCTGATCAAATTATTCTTATTGCAACATTGCAGTTGTGCACATAGGCCCACATCCTTATCTTTCTCATGGAATATTCTTTAGAGCAAACTGGATCTCTACATGTGCCAAGTTTGACAACTAACTCCACTGTAGTTTCTCTATAAATGAATAATTTCCAGAGAACTACAGTTTTGATTAATTGAGTAATTCTTGAAAGTCATTATCCTCTATACTTGTACTCTTTTTTAAAAAATAAATTTATTTATTTATTTTTGGCTGTGTTGGGTCTTCACTGCTGTGTGTGGGCTTCCTCTAGTTGCGGCGAGCAGGGGCTCGTTGCGGGCTCTCATTGCAGTGGCTTTTCTTGTTGCAGAGCATGGGCTCTAGGCGCACAAGCTTCAGTAGTTGTGGTGCACGGGCTCTAGGGCATGAAGGCTTCAGTAGTTGTGGTACGTGGGCTCAGTAGTTATGGTTTGCAGGCTCTAGAGTGCAGGATCAGTAGTTGTGGCACACGGGCTTGGTTGCTCCATGGCATGTGGGATCTCCTTGGACCAAGGATTGAACCCGTGCCCCCGGCATTGGCAGGTGAATTCTTAACCCCTGCACCACCAGGGAAGTCCCTA